ACCTATATGAGGTGATGAGGTGTCACTGAATAATATATTATTTATTAATACTACATTAAAAATATATTATGTACGGTGAAATAATTGTATTATTTATTGTACATTAGATTAGTAAGTTTATTATAGTGTGCTGCATGGTTTGTTAGTAACGCGTACTTTCGACACGGAGTCATAACGTGGACTGGCTTTACATTTAACTATATTATCTGGAGGGATGAACTAGTGGAGGGTTGCCGAGTGTTGACGGAAATATTACAAGTGTAGGTACACTATATTCTATTTTCTATGTCGATATCGGCGGCAAGTAGAGCTGGAATACGCCGCGGCGTCGTTATTGCAGAAGTCACAATATATATTCTTATTAAATAAAAGGAATACTAAGACAACATCTGGTGTGACTATGTCTAGCCTCCCGTATTTACATCAGCATTTGAATAGTTCGAAAAATCGCTCATTGTCATCAAGGCTTGTTTATGCAGCTGTTTATTGCACAGGTGTATTTTGCGGATGAATAATATTAATTTATACAAGTTTGAACGGGTTTTTCCTACGTTAAAAATATCTTGTGATTAGTACACACTAAAGGTTATTCGTAGATCGTGACTGAATGCCAAGTAGAATAGTTAGAAATCAGGGCGAAAGGGATTGGTAGTACCTTTGCTATCTATAGGTTCCTAGTAACTTATAGATAGCAATGTACCATCTCAGGTCGGCCTCCGGTTTCCCCTGAAAACCTAGTCTTCACAATGGGCGAACTGACCAGTTTCATCTTATCATCCTTCACTGGTGACCTGCCAGCGTATACCGTAAGCACAGGCGGGTGCGACGATCAATTGCCATCTATTTAAAAATACTTATAAACCGCTTGTAACAAAGTGGAAATGTATACATGTAATAAAAAATTACGCATCTATACACAGTAGATATATGAGACATATGATGGTTAAACAACATTGAACAACAACTGATATAAATTCCTACTAATATAGATTTTTTGTAAATACATACCTACTATGCATAGGAAACACCGAGAGGAAGGGGATTGTTAGTAATGTGGACTAATAACCCCAATGTTGACCTTCACGCGGTTCCCCCAGGAAACCATCTTGATAAATTCATGGTGAGTTTACCACAATGGACTAACATATATATATAAGAATCATATTCATGAATACAAATGGAAGAATTTGTACTGTGCGAGGAATCGAACCCGCGACCATCGAAAGTAACGCAATGTGCCAAACCACTAGAAATTTATACATATTTTTCGGATTAACTTAAATATCTTGATTGACCACAAATATTTCCCTTGCGATATCGAGGCGCCGATAAAGTAAAGATTTTCCTTGAAGCTAAAAAAAGACCACACATGTAAAAAGATAAAATAGAATTTATTTTTATTTATTTATTAATGCTCATTATAGATTATAGATGCGATAGTGAGGGAAGGTTTAACCAATCATGTTATTTGGAATATAAGTAAAAATGCAGCAACAACAGCGGACATAGTAGCTAACGGTAACTAGAATTAATAAAATGACCATCATACAGTAGCAATAATTTGATGTATACAACACAACGTTTTTCACTTTTATTTTCCATGCTTTCTACATTGCGCCGCTTTCCTAACGAAAAGTAAATAATGGCAGTATGTAGTGTGAACGAGAGGGCCAGTGTCGTATCTAGCGCAAGTGAAGAAGTCTATGGTTTGGCTTTGATTCTTAATTTTTGTTTAAAAAAAACAACGCAAATCACAAATCTTTTGCATGTACTTATAATATTTCTGTCAACACTCGGCACCCTTTCATTTGTTTGCATTACTACATAATTTAGATTTCTTACTTGAGTGTAAAGTCAGTCCGCAGTACGACTCCTGCGTTGGGTTTTGCGATACTAAGTCATGTAGCAGACTGACATGAATAAACTTACTAATGTCGTACAATTATTACACCCGTATACTCAAAACCAAGGTAGTAAAGAATACAAATAAAGTTGCACGTCTCTTCGCATCATACATAACGCTACAGTGATGAGGTGATACCCATCACGCTACACTTGGTCTAGACCAGCGGTTCTACGTTTTACAAATCAAGGGCCAAAATATTTGTTTTCTGTATAACGGGCCGCATCGTTGGTATTTTTATAAGGCTTTTTTATTTTAAATTAAAGGTACTCGTACTTTTTATTACTTAATTGTTGTCGTTACTGAGAGTGGGCCTATGCTTCTGGCGTACCGCAGAAAACATACGGGCGGGCCGCAGGTTAAAGACCCTTGGTCTAGACTATCTAAAACTATAGGGGATATAGGTCAGTGGTAGAGCATTCGACTGCAGATCGAGAGGTCCCCGGTTCAAACCCGAACTTCTATGAAGACTATCTAAAACTTAAGAAATTTACTTATTAAAAAATCTTTTTGTTATCAATATTTTGTTGTATTTTACTAGTGTGGATATATAGGAGAGAGTGTGCGGTACTAATCCGGAACTGATGAGGGCCTGTTGTCTACTTCATTTTATTGCAGTTCCACTAACGACCGACTATTAGTTTTGACGCATGTTATTCACATTTTTGACCTTAATTTGAATGTCAATTCTTATTTAGCAGACTTTAAATGTAACAAAATATTCAATTGGATTGTACTTTTTGACCGACAATCGTACGTTTGTCTTTGATATAACAGAATTGTGTACTGACTCTTATTTTCGGACTCAGAATATTGATTCAGGATTTACCTCAGTCAACAAATCTGAAGTTTTTGATGAATCTCGGACATAGTCTAATACAAACTTACTTGATTTGATGTAGTTAATCGGTACGGGTTTTATATACCGTCTAACCTATATTTTACGTTTTATGTATCTATTTGTTAGAATATGGTCGAATATGGTTGGGATATAAACTTGTTTTAATAATTTTGCGGTATCGTTTAATAATCACCAGTCGATTACCTTTTTACGGACATTATACTAAAAAATTCAAACTTACATAAAATTTTACTGTCTGCAGCCAAAACGGTTTTAATTAGACGCCTACTGGCTCTTATTCATCAACACAATGAAATTTTGTAATTTTCTTTTTTAATTATTACGACTCACCTAATATTTTGAGTTAGTGGCAACTGTCGCCTATATACGTAAACAGCACCACGGACATTACATCATATCACTGATGTTGCCATTGCAAAAGACTGAGATGTCATGCCTCTCTACCCTGTGATTTTACTGCCATATCTCACTCATCAATGAAAACAGCTATACAAAGCAAGTTGCTGGACGGTAGTAATAGGTGACACAGAGGTACCCAGACTTTATATAAAATGTCAAATACTTATATACCTTTTTTGCTTCTTCTTTCCTCAACTACTAATTTATATATTTCCTTCCTACGTTCTTTTAACTATTTATACAAGTTGGCTGATTACGATTTGGCACTCATCGACTATTTGGTCTATAAAATTCATAATAGAAACATTACGACTATCATTCAAGATGGTCAACGCCGTCATCAACTGCGTAGGTCGTGGTGACATTACCATTGATATGGCCACATTTCGCAGATTTATATTTTCACCCTATCGCCGCACCGTTTCTAGGATTACTTGCAGTCGGGGTAGTTTTTTAATGTGTGAAATGAAATGATGCTTCCGTGTACGCTGATTAACTTCTATATCTTGCTTGACCACACATAAGTACTTATTTTGTTTAAATTTAAGGCTTGTATATAATCATTTTATTAGTAGTAATGGTACACGCTGGCGGGGCACCAGTCGTTAACGCATCATGGGGAATCTATCAGGAATTAACCACAAAGGTTTCAAGCGGTACCGTATGAAGGTTGACATTAGTTGCTATACTACTAACAACCTCCTCACTTCCCCCTTCCCCCTTTGCCCTGTTCATAGTATCGGTGTAGTAAACCACTAAGCCGCAACGCTCTGAATGAAAGATAAATACTCCTGATAGTAAATCTAAGTGCACTGATCGGGGGGAAGAAGTGTTAGTAATGTGTACTATTAACCCTATGGGTAACAATGTACCATGTTAGGCTGCCCTCCACGGAAACTATCGTGAAAAAATTACCTTAATAGGCTACCGAGGTAAATTCACCAGGAACTGACTTGACCTCATACTCATCTTATCATCCTCATATACATTAAAAAAATGTGCACTGATTTTTTATCGTGACGATAATCGTTTATTTTAAACGGTATTGTGTATGTTATTGTGAAACACATTTATTGGTTCATGTTACAACACAAATTGGCCATGTGGTTACACTCACGGGCAGCGTAACGTCAAACAATTAATACAACGAATTCATTTTTTTTCATATGGTTATGGTGAATGACGTTATGTAGATTATCATTTTACCTTTCTATGAAGAATTGATATTAAATGAAAATATTTTTATGTATATTATATGTAGGTATGACATGATATCCATGAGATAACTCTTCTTTTAAAATTACTATATACCCGTTTAAGTGCGTATTGCGAAACATTTTTCAGTTTCCCGTACTTAATACAAATAGATATGCAATTTTTATCGCTCTTATCATTACAATAATATTTACAAAATATTCAGTGGATTTGTCATCTGGGGCTTCATTGTGTAACGCAGTTGATATTCTTATATGAAATAAATAAAAATCTACCAATTCACTCTTTTCTTCTTTCCAATTTAACTGTTGCAAATGGGAACAGTACAAAATAGCATGTCACTGAAACACTTAAATGGTTCGTGTATGTAAAATCGCAAACATTGTATTTAATCTGTGACAATTGAGAATATATTACAAGGTAGCTGGTTAAAAGTGTTGCCATCCTAATTTAATCTAGATAACTGGACTAACTTAACACTTAAAAAAATACCAAATTATTGCATTATTTCCACGCCCACTAAAAATTTACTAGCGTCCAGACATGGACTCTTCTTGTGTTAGTGGTAAAAGCACTAAGACGGCAATACAGCTGATTAATGTGAAATATTGCTTGTTACAGCAAGAGGACCGTCTCACCGAGCACGATACTGAAGCGGGAACAGAAATGGCTGCGCATGCTGGACAATTGGGAGGCGTTTATGAGCAAAAACTACAAGAAGGTGCGCGAGAGGTGCAGGAAAGGTCGGTAGTCTCTATTATACCAATTTATTTTTCTATTTTTAGATTATTTTTATGGGAAATGATGGAGTGGTGCACCCGCCTGCACTATAAGATGAGCATGAGGTCAGGTCAGTTAGCCCATCGTGGCCATTCACCAAGAATTTATCACGACGGTTTCCGCGAAGGGGGAACCGCGTAGAGGTCAACCTGACATGGTAGATGGCTATTTTTAGATTAGATATTTTAGATTTTTAAAACCGACTTCTAAAAAGGAGGAGGATTTCGTTTCGTAGTTTAAATGTTCTTTTAAAATTTCAGGCATACCAGCGTCAGTGAGACCCAAAGCTTGGCTGTACCTCTGTGGTGGACAGCTGCTACTCCAGAACCATCCCAACGAATATGAAGAGTTACTACAAGCTCCCGGGGACCCCAAATGTATGGACGACATCAGAAAAGACCTTCACAGGCAGTTCCCTTACCATGAGATGTTTATTAGGGAAGAAGGACTAGGGTGAGTTTAAGACACTGCTGATATCATTCAACATTTTTTATAGTAATATATACATATATATATAAGCGGATTTGCCATGATAGAAGCAACCTTCGAAACCACTGCGCAGCTTTGAAGTTTTTTATTCTTTGAAAGTACAAGATTCCAGAGTTATGTACGCTATACATTATTATGGATACTATAGTTTTCGATCACAAAAATACTGCCTAAATATACCCTGGCAGGCTCTCCATAAGGGTGGCATCGATAGGCAATTATATACTGTTCGTTTATTGTTATAATTAATACTTTTATACTTACTTAGTACATATATACAATATACCTCTTTATACTTGCTTTATTAAAATCATTATTATGAAGAATCTTAAACCTGTTTAAAATTTTGTCTTCGGACATTACCGGTTTTTTAATACGAACTAGTTGTGTAATCCGAACAATATTATAGTTTCAACATATGCAATAATATAGATCTAACGTATTGTCTGTAGTTCTGTACTGTTGTGCATGCAGGCGAACGAGTACGCTATGTAATATCGAATTACGACACCGTGACGTCATAGCATCATATAATAGCACTCGCATTAGCACTACAGCAAACCTTATTTATTTATTCTTTTGCACACAAAATTGTATACATGGCGGACTTATTGCCTGATGGTATTCTCTACCAGTCAACCGTCGCGTTGATCAGAGATAGTATGGCGGTGCAATTTAACAAGTATAAAATAGTTTAAGGGGGTCTTCCTATGTGACGGCCTGTTTTTTAGGGATATTTTAGGATTTTTTTCTTAAATATGGAGCTTCAAGTTTTTTATCATTTATTAACACATATTTGGACAGTATAAATATATTCAGCTAAAAATATTCAGTCAAACTAGAGTTACAGCGCTCTGAACATATATCCGGCTGATCGGCTTATCTGAAAAAAAAAAAAAAACGGCGTTTTAATTTGTAGGCGGTCACGGAATGACCTATAATCAAATGAATATAAAAAAAATTGGATTTTTGATAGACATTTGAAATAAAAGTTGCAAATTAGGCGTTTTTTTTTGTTTTTTGCTATATTATTAAAAAATCGAAGTTTTGAAAATTTTCGATTGATAATAGTTCATTCCATGTGTTTACATATATTGAGTGTGCCCTGTAAATTTCAAGTAATTCGGTCCAGCCGTTTCTGAGATACAATGGAGGAAAGTTTGAAAAACACAGTTTTGAGAAAAACGCGTTTAAAGTTTCAAGTCCGTTAAAAACTATTAAAATATCAACTTACTCTCAATCGGCGATGCCTGGTCCATAGAGTATTCCTTCCTCTTCCTCGTGAAACTCTTTTAAAGCAGATTGTTCAGCTCTTGAGTCAATTCTGGCTTGTTTAACGACATCACTTACGCGCCGCTCAGAGCGTAAGATTCGCTTTTCATCCCGTTTCTCAACATACGCTTGGGCTTCACGACCAACAGGGCATCCCATAATCGACATAACTTTTAAAATACCTTGAAAACCTTCATTAAAGATAATAACTGCTAAGTAGCTAGCAATTTCAACAACTTTGGGACCAGAATGAAGATGTTTAGGAGCGAAAGTCCAAATCAAAGAATTCAAAGATTCGTTATTGTTTTGTGTCTCTACTCCTAAACAACGAATTAATAATTCGTCTTTCGATAAATCTTCGAAAACCGGTTTGATAGCTTCTTGGACTTGCGGAATTAGAGGTGGTTTATCGTGATGAAATTGGTCCAGTTCATTATTAGCTTCAGCCTTACGCCATTTACACCAACTGTCTTCGCCTTCTGGACAAAATTGATGCTGAGGGTTTTCATCAGAAGAACATTTGTGATAGTACGTTGCCCAAACTTCCTTTCTCATATCTTCAAGCGAATCTGGATGGCGTCGAATTGCTAATCCGTAGAATTTTGTAATTTCTTGGATAACTTTATCAGTAAGTTTACCTGCTCCTTTTCCTCCTATTCCTTTATTGGTTTTATCCTTTTTAACAGCCCGAAGTCGTGTTCCCATCCTCTTTTCTACGTGACCCACACATTCTTTTTTTAACGGTACACAATAGGCCCGGTCTCTAACTGCCAACTCACCGCTCCGAACCGCTCTTTCTTTTACCTGCTGTATCTTTAAAACGACTTCGAATTTTCTAAAATCGCTTTACTACCGTATTCTAGACATGTTAAGGGAGCAATTTATGAAAAAAAAAATCGATTTTTTCAACCCATCACATAGGAAGACCCCCTTAATACAGAAAAATAATATATACAGGTGTATATATCTATAATATATAAAGCTGCATTACGGTGACTCACTGACTGATTGACATAGTTGTTCTCCCAGAAGGAGTGTCCGGGGGTCGGGACGATGTATGGGAGAAATGTTCTTTTGGCTGGGGTTACCACGAGAAAATTCCGAAGTTTGGGAAAATCCAAGATGGCGGCTAACTTTGACAGTTATGCTCGGATAGATTCCGCTCAAAGAGTGCTTTTAAAATTATTATATGGCTTATACATATTTCATTAAGATTCATTCAGCCGTTAAGTCGTGAAAAATGAACACACGTACAGACATAATATCGCATAACTAATAATCTATACTTTTTTCCAAAATAGCAGCTCATAAATATCTTAGCAACACGCAAGTTGAATTACAATACAGTTTTATACCGAACTACACGCTCCTAATTATATTATTGTAGTGATTGTAATCTGTTTTGTATGCTAATAAATAAATAAATATAATAAATACATATTTTTGTTATATTAAAATTATTATTATGAACCGAACCAACGCCGATATTAATTACCTATTCCATTATTACTTCTATCATTTATTATTTTCCCTATTACTTCATTATTTCATATAATAGATAGGAACTTATTTGTGTAATAATTTAAATATTAAAAATGTGTATAAAGTTACTGTGTATGTAAAAATTGCAGTGAGGAAACCACTTGAATGGAACATTAACAAAACCAAGGAGTTCCCCACAAAACGTAATCCCGAAGTTTCGAACTGTTGCAATGATTTTGTGTTTATTGGTTCTGTAAAAACACTAATCAAATTCATTATATTGTACAATATCTCTTATAATATATAAAAATCTTGTGTTATAGTGTTTGTATCAAAATTCCTCTGAAACGGCTTGAGCTATTCTTTTGTATGTATATTCAGTAGGAAATAGGAAGAAATAGGAGTTGAGAAATAGGACGTAACCTATAAAGGCATTAAAAATAGTCAAGTTTTGTTTTGTTTCCTTTTTTTGGAATAAATTTTGTTACTTATATATATATATATACAGATAGTAACGATAAGACTATATTTCGTAAACGTATATTTCGTGTCTGAACAACGACTTATCGTCCGGTGAAGCTGTAAAAAAGCTGAGGCCAACAGTATTAGAGTAGTGTGAAAAAAAAACTGACTTTCCCGTCCGGGTAATAATAAAAAAATGTAATAATAACAAAAAACAGTAAACAGTAATAAACTATTTACTATTTTGTTCCCAAAATAAAAATATTATATCACATGATAGGTACTTCAGTCATTATTCATACGTATATTGAATTATAACATTACAGGCAACAGGAGTTGTTCTCAGTGCTGAAGGCATATTCAGTTCTGAACCCAAAGGTGGGCTACTTCCAAGCGCAGGCGCCCGTCGCAGCATTCCTCCTGATGCATATGCCAGCGGTGCAGGCCTTCTGGTGCCTCGTCAGCATTAGCGACAAGTATCTTAAAGGCTACTACAATCCAGGACTCGAGGTTTGTTGATGTTTGTTAGCCAAATTAAAAAAAGGAAAGTTATATACTTTATTCATGGTTGTTCATAATTGTACATATTATAATGGGTTATTTATAATATGATAGATTATTTATAGGTCCCGATATTTCATCCCTTTTACGAGTTTCCTGGTCATGGGTCGACATATTTACCATGATTATATTAAGTGATGTTATAATAATAATAACCCTGGGAAAATCTACACAGTGCCTACTCTAGTCCCAAGATAAGCACGGCTTGTTGTGGGTTCTTGACAACTGATATGAATACTTTTATATGTACACTAAACCCGCAAAAAAAACGCTATTAAAAAATAGGGGTTGATGATAGAAGGGTGAAAATGTATGTATGTATTTAATTTATGGTATGTTTGTTTGTATCTGTTTAGGTGTTTCCTATGTATATTATGATTTACAAAAAAAAAATAAGTATTCATATCAGTTTTCTAGTACCCATAACACAAGCTCTCCTTACCGTGGGACTAGATGGCGCTGTGTTAATTGTCGAGGATTATTTATTTGCAATACATAGATTAATAGAAACAATCATACGAACTGGCAGTAACGAAAAATTAAACAAAAACCATAAACAAATAATACTTTTATACGTTGATTACAGGTACTTCAACGTGACGGTGATATATTGCACGCTTTGTTACGGCGGACTGCGCCCGCCGTTCACCGTCACCTCGTCAAGCACAAGGTGGAGCCGGTACTGTACGCCACCGAGTGGTTCCTGTGCGCACTCACCCGCACACTGCCCTGGGACAGTCTGCTGCGGGTCTGGGACTGCTTCCTTTGCGAAGGGGTCAAGGTGAATCAACGAATTATTGAGCAAACTCTCAAATTCTGGATCTAAAAGTTCTAATAGTGTAGTGAGAATAGAGATTAAACAACTAGATGTCCCGGCAAGCTTTGTTTTGCAATATAAATGAATATCGCTGTTAAAAATAGGGACTGATTGTAGTAGGGTGAAAATTTAGGAATGTTACATACACCGCTGAATTAGTTGTCTAAGGTTTTTTATTAATTACTATTTATTTTCAGTAATACAAATATAAAAATCTATGTATTAGATATTTAGAGAAAACACCCAAATACATGGCAAATATATATTATTTTTTGCTTTCAGGTTTTATTCAAAGCAGCACTAGTGATTCTGGCCGGTGCACTGGGATCAGCGAAGGTGCGGAAACGTGCGTCCGGACTCTGTGAGACCCTAGAGGTCCTCCGGCATCCGCCAGAGGGCATCCTGGGCGAGGAGTACCTGATGTACCACATGCAACGGCTGAACCTCACAGAGGAGGACTTCGAGTTTGAACACCAGCGGCAGACGGCCAGGCGGCGCGCCATGCCCAACAGAAGGTAAGGGAATAAAAATAATCCAGTGGAATGTGACTAGATTAGACCTAGACGAGTGAGAAGCCTCTACTAATGTTACTCACAATGAAGTCCCAACACTCTGTACTCCGATCAGATCGGCTGGAACTCGTAAAAAAATAGTTTTTTTTACGAAAATTTGTTTTTATTTTTAATTTAAACATCGGAACTATTTAAAATGATTAAAAAGAACTCTAGAACTATTCAGAAGGATGTCAAAGTATTTTCGCATTTTTAATTTTAGTAATGATAAAATGCCTTCTATGACGAATAACTAATGTGAATGTTTGTATGTCCACAGTGGTAGCTGATTCAGCGATTGCTCCTATAAGCGTTATTCAAAGAATAACGCACGGGACCTGTTCAACACTCTATGAGTACGCGAGTGCAATAATGACAGCCACGCAATTACATACCTTAAGTGCTTTGTGATAATGACGGTAGTGATACGATACGAAACCGAACTACACGACTGTCAGTGATAAGTGCGACAAACCAATATGAACTGTATTAGTTTAGTGTAACGTTGATGATCGCTTGCACAAGTTAAGTGGAGGACTGTGAAGGTAATTGGTGATAATATGGGCTCCTAATGCGCCTTGTAAGGCCGCTTACACATTGGCGATCAGGTTTAGGCGCCTTCCTGATAGGGTTGTCCCCTTTTCTTCGATATAGTGACGTATCTTGAACGTATCGTACCGAAATTTAGCAGTCTTCTCGGTAAATAAGCTGTAAATTTGGTACAGAAACAAAAACGCGCCGATCATGTCAGAAAGGCGCCTCAATTTAATAAATTATGGTATCATATTTTTATTGTAAACAAATTACCAATCTCCAATTGGAAGTGTGCCTTAAAAATTGTATCTATCTGTGTGTAGCTAGAAATTATATTCCACTATATTGATTTATACATAATCGCAATATAAAAACAAAATTAGTTTTCTATAACTATTTTTAATAGAACATATTCAACTGTTATTTTTTGTTTAAGTCACTTTACTGAGATAAATTTGCAATGAATAATAGAGTTTCTATTTATTTAATTATATGGGAAAATATATCGCTTTAGAAGTAATAATGACTGTTCAATATTATAATAGAAGTTTTATGATTTTATATTACGAGCCTGTACATATTATATTCAAGTCTGTTATTAAATAAAAACATTATCTCTTGGATATATTATGTATGTATTTAGAAAACTTATATATTCAGTTTATTAATTTACTGCGGTAATGCTTTTGATATATTTTTTTTCCTTTTATATTTATATTTTTTCAAACCATACATATATATTATGTCCAAATGTTGTGTTAATTTGGTTTTGAATATAATATATGCTGGCTCATATAGAATTACTTATTTACACAGTTTATGTATGTTCCATATAAAATCTCTATTAAGACACTTTGTTTGAAAATATGCCCTTTGGCAGTATATAATTTTATGAGGAAAGCATGAAGAAATGCAATTTAAAATGGTCATTTTTAACTATAGTAAAAACCGGATATAATAGCCTCGGTTATAACGGATCGGTTGTTATAACTAAATGTATATATGCATACATATAGACCTTTCCTTTGAATCATTTTATTGCTGAAAACTTCATTACAGTCCTTTGCGTACTTTAAAAAAAGGCTTTCTCTACGCTTAGATCTTTTAAACTACGCAACGCGGAAGCGACTTTATTTTTACTATGTAAAGATACATGGATTCCTAAATAAATATAATAATTATATATACTGCTTATAACGACCATCCGGATATAGCAGCCATGTTTTGTGGTCACTTCAATGTCGTTATATCCGGTTAATATAATACTTAGAAGTAGCCAGTAACACATTCTGTGTCAATACGATGATGATGATGATTAAAATAATGTAGTTTTTTTTTCCTTTTTATATTTTTTATACAGAGCACTTTGTATAAAAAATGTAATCAGTAATATTTTTATTTATTTGGAACTGAAAAGTCTGTTCCCTTGTCTTTCTGTCACGCTTATGGAACTAGATAAGCGTGATATCAGAATAGACAATTTTTTTTAAATTGTGATTGATTTTTTCATACCTACTAGTGACATCCCATCATTTGTTATTGAACAGGTATGACACTGCCAAATTAACTTGCAATGACGAACGATATTTTATTTGTGACAAATTTATGTGTATCTTTAAATTTCTGAATTGGAAGCGAATGGATGAGAATAATAAGTTTGTAGTGGCACAAACATTTGTAAATATATCTGTTGTTTTGCCAAATATTGTACTGACCAATGTATTGGTTGCTAGGTTACGCTAGAGTGTGCATTGTTGGTGTGTTGGCCAAATATAGAACATTTACAAAACAATGTTTTCATGAGTATGTTTACCATTGTATTTATCAATACTTATAAAGCGTCTGTTACAAGACAGCTTAGCATATAAACGGAGAGTTAAGCACAAGTCTGCTAAAACTAAAAGATTATTTTATTTGCTTCCTCACTATTTGTACCTTGTTCTGATTGTTTTTTAATTTATTTTGATATGTTGTTCATTAATGTTCCATAGCAATGTTTTTACGTCTGTTTAGAGACTCAATCTTCATCTCAGTGTTGTCATCACCTTCTATTTTATATTTTACATTGCCAGTAATAAAAAATATTTTCTGTAAATTGCTTACTTATAAATCATAATGAAATTGAATGATTCATTAACGATAGATAATTGTAATTCTGTAAATATGACAGTTGACAAAATTTTATCTACAATTGCATCTTGATCTCAACAACTGTAATGAATGAAGTTTGAGTGCTAAAAAAGTAAGAATATTTTATTGCTAATTTTCTGTGTTGCGATTTTATTTCTCTCACATTCCCAACTTGTAATTGACTCACAAAATCATATTTCCATAGATCTAGATAAAATTAACTGTGATTTTAAAATGTCTGTTCAAAAAATACAAAAAGTTATGCCTGATTAATGTTAGCTTTGTAAATAAAAAAGATAATATTCTAAGAAACATATATTATACATTGTCTGCTAAGTATTTTGTTATGGTATTTTTTTTCAAATTATTTATATATTAATATACTTTATTACATTAAATAAAAACTGATATCAGTAACTGAAATAATGTAAGGACATGTATGGTTGAAAAATAATACAAAATTGTTAATAATACTAATATGTAAATTTGAGGCAATATTGTATGTATAAATTTACCCAAGTTTAGCTTTAGGATTGGCAGATCCATTGTAAATTATATACGGATTATGACCAAGTTTACATGGGACCACCCTGAAGCTAAAAAAACTTAAATCTTTAAGACTACCTTCTCTTTTGAAATCAGTTAGCCTGATGAATATAAATTATTGGAAGGCTACCAAATTGTTATGTATACTAATTTATTTATTTGTTATATCCAACATATGTTATTTATCTTTTATTAATGTTTTTGTTCGATATATCTTATTTATTTGTAAAATAATGATTCCATATTGCGCGGAGGAATCCAATAAATTTCCATTTGTATGTAGAATCGACAAATGCAGAAACACAATGACAGTCATGAAGTTGTCATGATGCTGAGTAAACACTTCTAATTTTAATGTCATGAATTTTTTTTATTTTCTACCGAGTTCAATGTTTCCATTGTTTTCATAGTGTCCTACATATAGTATAAAAAAAAATCAGGTATTAGATAATGAGTAAGAAATTCTGTTCGAATAGTCCTCATGTATCTATTGTGACAATTTATTTCTGTACTAAATAAAAGTCTTCCGGTATAACTTAGAATTCTGATATATATAAATATATATATATATATATACTCATACTTAAAATTCAGTTACAGTTTCATCAGCGAATAATGGTAAATTAGTGTGATAATGTTCAAATATAAATAGTAACGTGTGATATTTAAATGTAACACAATCACATATCTTGAAACGTGTAAATATTAGAAGAGTCATTCATAAATCTCAAATTAATTGTATGATAAATACAATTTAGGTTTATGCTTTATGAAAGAACATGAAGTCACATGAATTAAGCAGCTTCAGACATACTAAGCAAATAAACACTATGTTTTAATAGTTGGCACTACCTTTGTAGGAAGGAAACCTATAATATGCAACCATCTTACATATATATAAAATTCTCGTGTCACAGTTTTCGTTCCCATACTCCTCCGAAACGGCTTGACCGATTCTCATGAAATTTTGTGAGCGTATTGAGTAGGTCTGAGAATCGGCCGGCATCTATTTTTCATCCCCCTAAATGTTAAGGGTAGTCCAACCCTAAATTTTATTTTTTATTTTTTAGACAAAATTTTCAGTTTTTATTTTTTTATGATACAACATACAAAAATGCATACAATCCTAAATTTTCACCCTTCTATCATCAACCCCTATTTTTTTATAGCGTTATTAATTTATATGGCAATACAACGTTTGCCGGGACAGCTAGTATAAATATATATTTTGTTTCATATAAAAAAATATTTTGTAGTGACCCACGTCATTGTGTTTGGATTTATAGCCGATAGTTCTGTATCTCTTTTTTCCACAAAATTATTATGAAAGTTCTACACAAACTAAGTGAGAAAAGATGAGACAGAAAACAAAAAGAGCAGTAAAAAAGAGGCTTGCATATTAGTAGGGTTGCCAACTTTTTGTCTTATCATTTTAAAACGAAAAAATAATATTTGATGTAAATATAAATATATTTTTTATTTGAGTATCTATCGTTTATAAAGTCACACTTTATCAATGGTAAGAAAATTACTACTAGTATTCTAAGTAGGATTTCTTTTTCACAATAAGAATTTTCAAGTAATTTATATATAAAAATATAAAAAGAAGACAAATCTATTTTGGTTCTGAAGGAATACAACTTTATTTATTACTTTATGTGCATATAATTTTATGATACAATTAATTTTTAAGCTGAACTCACGAATGCATAAATGTATTTAGTTGTTGCTTTAGTGTTATTAATATGAAACATATTAGCGAGATGTCAAATTTAATTAACATGGTAGACAAAAAAGAAAGAAAATATTTAAAGTTTATAAACACGGTGAAGTAGAATATGAATACATTGCATATAATTTTTTTTGCATCGTGATATTGAAACCCAAATGTCTTTCGTGGTTTCAATTTTAGATCAGATAAACTACCATTTCTAATTAGTGCTTTTTTCATGAAAAAAGTAGTAAAAGTACCTGGTAAATATATTGTTGAGCAGAATAAATGTTACCTGCAGTTATAGCTAAAGGTAATAATTACACTGAGACATAATTGACGCATTATTCGAATTGTAGGCTATGATTTAGAATAAGTTATATGTTGGTGCATAATGTTTTATTTTAATATTTAATACTTTCCTTTAGTTTTAGGAACTCGAAACTTGATTAAATATATTTTTAAATGTAAGTTGAAAATATTATCAGATACACTATGTTGTTTCACCACTTATTTTAAAGAGATGTTTAACGAAATTTGTAGAAAAAGTATAGAGAAAAAAAATATTTGAATCAAAGATGTCAAGTCAAAATTTCGAGTGTCTGAGTGTTGTGTTGTGTGTGATTTCTGTTTCCTTTGGATGTCGAGATTTTTAATTAAATGTTATTATGGATCATTATAATTATACTTTATTTTCAGTGATTTTACAACTTATTGCATTAAGTAATATGTAACACTCTATAAGACGAAACATGTGTGACAAATGATATGAATACAATCCATCACATTCCACTATTCAGACTGTATGACTATTATAATTCCGATATCATGTATTTTTGTACAGTGGCCCTAAAGATTCATGTTGCTACAGTATTGTACAATATTGTAAATAAATATAAAAGTTATGTAAACATGTGTATTTTTAATTAATATAATACTATATGTATACATACACAAATACATATATAATATATGCTTGCGCTACAGTATGCGATGGTAAACTGAAAGATCGCTTGCCGGTTAGATAGTTGCGGTTTCAATTTCTGGCACGATGCAAACATTTGTCTTCATGAATATGATTGTTTGTTTTGGTTTGGATGCCTTTACAAAATATATTTGTTTTTCTATTAGTTGTCTGGTCCATAACACAAGCTCTGTTTAGATGTGAACTAGATGGCGCTGTGTGAATTGTCCAGACCTATTATTATTGTCTTTCAGTATATGGAATAAGTCGGCCGTGAGCCTATCGTGATGAATTTATCACGATAAGTTTCAGGCAGACCGTGTGGAGGTCGAAATGTCATGGTTCATTGCTGGTAATAGAGCCTTTAGTTCCCTTTACTAACCATTACCTCTAACAAATATTTTTGTTGTACTATAGAAACAGTATTTTTATATTGTAAAAATATTATTTCTCTAGTACGACGATTTATATTGCATAAGTTGTTTATTTGGTCGTAAAGATCAAACCAAATTATTTGTATATGATCAAATTAATTTAAAGGAATTAAAACGAAGGAGGAGAAATTTCTTCAAATATATTCCAAGTTTTCAAAGTAAATATTAATTAACAGTTTGATCAGATAAATAATAGTCATAAATAACTGTGGAGTCATCTTAATAGCTCTATTATTCGATAAATATGAATTGATTGAATTTAAGTAATTGTTCGTTCTCTACTTTCAGCGTCAAGTATTTAAACTTTAAAGCAAATTACTAACGAATACGAAGAATATGAATATACGAATTTATATTTAAATGAAATTAAAGTTTACTTCGATCGGACACTAAATAATGATAATAATTATAAATATTTCTCTACTTCTGTTTTTACATTCTAATAAGCAAACGAAAAAATTTTACGTAAAGATAGATTGCACAGCGAGGATGGACATTTGTAATTTTTTATCTAAAAATAGCAGACTTACTCACTGGTAACAAGTAGTAAGAAAATAAAACAACAAAGGATGGTATAAGTTATAATTAAATACAAAATAGCAAGTCATCACTCTTAGGTATAAACAATACAACATACAACTTGTTACATCATGTAAACAATTAGGCAGAAGACAATTTATAATTTCGTTTCTACATCTCTTGAGAGCGATGCACACGTTTTGAGCACCAATGAATTTTGCGACTCCGACACGAGTTTGGACTTCATGAAAGCGTGAATGTGACTACATTTCTTTGAAGATTTTGGAAAACATTTCCCTGGTGATATTAAATGGTATGTATAAAGGCCGATAATAAGAAATATAGATATAGCTTATTACATAAATATGTTACTCCGTAATCAGTCAATTCGTTATCAAGTAAGAAATAGTATTTTCCGAAATTGAAAATTCCTTGTATGTTCACTTATAAAATGCAATCGTAACTCTATACTAATATTATAAAGGGGGAAATTTTTCATTGTATATTTGTGATGGATAAAAATTATTTAAAATAACTTGACCAGTTTAAACATTTTTTTCAGTGACAACTAGATCCCATAACTGTGGACAGGTGTATTATAAACACTAGCGTCTGACCTTTTCACAGAATTCTCGTTTAGTTAGTCTTGACAACAGCAAAAAGAAAAATGATCCTTAAAAGAATTTGATCTAAGAATAATTTTTTTGCTGACAGTACATAAATAAGTCGCCACTTGTACCAAATGTAGGTGTAAAAACAAGTAAGTTAGACCCCATTATTTGATCTTATCACTTCGAGAAACATACATCGGAAACGAATATTGGTTTTTAGTAATAGTTGAAAGTAATGTCACATTAAAGCAAAAGTGACTACTCCTGTGTAAGTACGTAAAAAAGATACATTTGTAATATTTATGCTACAAACAGACAGACCGGAGATATTACCATTGTATATAGTATGTTTAGATTATATTAGTAGTTAAATATTTATTTGTTACCTACTTATTAAAATAAGTTTTTGCCATCAATGGCAAGATGGTTTGTTAAACAACCCAGCTAGGATAAGAGTACGTAATTTAGTACTATCACGATAATAAAATTCATGTAAAATACACAAGAATAAAATACTGATAATTATTTAATTTTGGTTATTCAGACACTTTATTGTAACAAACGAAATGGCTGCTAATATACAGTCGGTCGACTCTATAGGCTGCTAATATACAGTCGATCAGTCGTGCCATTAGTGCGTCATCGACGAGGACGCGGCGTAGAAACCAAATGCGCCTTCGAAACGTTAGGCAGCATTTGGGCATTGTATACGAGGAGCCTAAGAGTTGATTTTGAACCATTTGAAGAATAATACTAGTTTCACAGTTCCTACAATTAGGTTGGTTTAGATACATTTTGTTTCATTATCAAACATAAGAATTGTTATGTAACGCTGTCCAATAATTTATTTTATAAAACCATTGAAATTGAAAGTGTTATGTGTGAACTGATCGACAATTGCAAATTTATAGAGAGTTGTTTGCAAATATAATTAATACATAGACAATCGAATGACAAAAATATTTTATTGCGCAACTGAAATGGCAAACAGACTGTACCACCTGACTGTAAGTGGTAATCGTGGTTTATATACATGAACAAGCACCACGAACAACACGTCATGTATGTAATGACTGTGACATGATATATTGCCATTCCTGAGAATTACCGCGTCATGCTACCTGTTCTGTAATCTCTCCCTTCATACCTCAATACAACTTATAAAGCAAGCTACTGGCCGACAGAAATATTTGAAACAGAGATACTTACAAACAAATTTTTTTACTAATAGTCTAAGATCCGGGTTAAGGAATATGTACCCTAATCCATTGATTTAATGAAAATTGAAATTAGACTTTAAAGTTAAAACATTAGAGTGCATTTTCCATATCATATCATTTTTGAGTTAGGTGACGTTGGACGAGGGACATCTTTGGAGAGTTTATAGTGAGTAGGAGTGTCACAGAACCCTGGGGCCATTCTCCCACGGGGTGGGCTCCATAAGGGTTTTTTTTTCAAGCAAAGAAAAGCTGGGAAATATGTAGATTTAGCATATGAGTTGGCAGGCAGTCATTTTCAATTATGAACATTGTTTTTATCAAATAACAATTGAGGATAGATATTCCTTACACCGTATTCCCTACCATAAGTCTTTATTTACCATGTTTTAATGTCTTTATAATAAACGAAACAATACCGACAGCGTTATATAAGTACAAGTTTCGGGTCTTTGAACTCTATCAAATAAATATAATTCATAATATACATTCCATACAACTCTGCCATTTATATCAAGCATATACAATGCAAATTAAATTTATTATTCACAAGGGAATTAAAATAATTGTATGTGACGAGTATTTACAAGATATGTTTGTGATAGGTTTATATTGCACTGCGAAAGCGAAGCGGTAATGGCTTAGTAAAAAGTTTATGTTTTGTTTGATTTTTTGCCCAATGATTTATAAATTTGAACATTATTAAATTTCTATTGTCAAAAACATATATACATCTATGCGTGTATTGAATACATAATAGTGTATGTAATATTATTTTATGGATATTTAAACAAAAAATAGTACTCTACTATTTATCTATATAAACTATAAGTATGTGAAATTTCATAGTTCTCCATCCGAGCAATTTTCATAAAAAAGGTGTAAGTTTTTGCTTCACGTATTAATACAATGATAAAAGATTCTCTATCGTAAATTCGGTTGTTCAATTTTATATTCACGCTTGTAATAAATACGTCAGTAAATTCTTTGTCGTATGGTAACAAATATTAGTTTATTGGTGTTAATTTAAAAAGGAATTTACTTTTGTTAATGCGCCGGTATTCGGATGCAGTTATTTTTTTACTAAAACGTTTACTACGTGGATGTGGATCATACAATATGTATGATTATCACAAACTACATATACATATATTCTGTTTCACGCTCGGAATTATAAAAGGTTCAATGATTAATCTGTTCTATTAGGGTGAATTTTTTATTACTACAATATAATGGATTGGATTGGATATTGCCTAAAGCCATTCTTACATTTCGCTTCAAAAGCAAAATGTCGCATCGCTTGGGCAGTGCAACCACGATATAATTTAGACATTATGCACCTAAATGACAAGGCCACTTCACTGTATAAGACTCTTCAAATACTTTGTTTTCTTGCTTAATATATTCATAACGTCCGCTATTATGTCTAGCCTTCCTTGCTTTAACTTCTCGATTGGGCTTTGGTATTTTTCTAAATTTACGATTGAGAATTCTTCTTGTAGAGTCGTTTGGAACTCATATTGAGGCCAGTTCTCGAATATATCTTCTAGAATTGTGATGCTGTCTTGGACAGTCTCGTTCAGTGCGTTGAGGAGTTGGGTCGTTTTCACCTCGTCAGGGGATTGGTTAGTTTTCTTTTTAGACTTTTTAGTGTTCAACGGTGTCGTCAATTCGTTGCACACGCCTAATAAGAACGTGATGATTCCTATGAACTGAAACAGAAGTGAAGTTGTCGAATTAATAAAAATAATAAAGCAGGACAATTCACACAGTGCAATCTAGTCCCAAGCTAAGCAGAGTTTGAGTTCTGGGTACTGGATAATTGATAACAAATATATTTTTCTTTGAAAATTATTATGTAAAGTAATTACTGCACTTACATAAGCATTCTATTGCTTATATAATCTATGAAACGATACATATTTTTGTTTACATTTATACATTACGTAAGCCTTTACTTTTTAAAACAATGTAGCATTAGAATATTGGTATCACCAGGCAGCATCACGCAGCCAACGATAGTAATTAAAGGCGCAAAATGAAAGAGTATCAGTATATTCATATTAAATATAAATATTTAAAAATAAGGAATGTCCTGCCAGCTAGCGGCTGGAATGTAAGGAGTCCTGTATAATATGTAAGCAAATTGTTTACACTAATTTACAATTAATAATTTCATTTTTAAGTATTACTCCCTAACATTGACGTGCAAAATACGTCGCACTATGTGTAGGGACAGATTGGAGCAGCGGCGTCCCCCGCACCGACAGCGGCGGCCCGCAGCACTGTGTGTAGCGACAGGTGAGTACCTCTAGGTAGTTGGAGAGGTGCTCGAGGCGGTTGCGGGCCCGCGCGGCGTGGTCCCCCTGCCCCCCGCGGCGTGGTCCCCCCTGCCCTCCGCGGCGTGGTCCCCCCGCCCCCCGCGGCGTGGTCCCCCCGCCCCCCGCGGCGTGGTCCCCCCTGCCCCCCGGGGCGTGGTCCCCCCTGCCCCCCGCGGCGTGGTCCGCCCTGCCCCCCGCGGCGTGGTCACCCCTGCCCCCCGCGGCGTGGTCCGCCCTGCCCCCCGCGGGGGCGGCGGCCCGCAGCGCGGCGGGGGCGGCCCGCAGCACTGTATGTAGCGACAGGTGAGTACCTCTAGGTAGTTGGAGAGGTGCTCGAGGCGGTCGCGGGCCCGCGCGGCGTGGTCCCCCCGCCCCCGCGGGGCCGGCGGCCCGCAGCGCGGCGGGGGCGGCCCGCAGCACTGTATGTAGCGACAGGTGAGTACCTCTAGGTAGTTGGAGAGGTGCTCGAGGCGGTCGCGGGCCCGCGCGGCGTGGTCCCCCCCGCCCCCCGCGGGGCCGGCGGCCCGCAGCGCGGCGGGGGCGGCCCGCAGCACTGTATGTAGCGACAGGTGAGTACCTCTAGGTAGTTGGAGAGGTGCTCGAGGCGGTCGCGGGCCCGCGCGGCGTGGTCCCCCCCGCCCCCCGCGGGGGCGGCGGCCCGCAGCGCGGCGGGGGCGGCCCGCAGCACTGTATGTAGCGACAGGTGAGTACCTCTAGGTAGTTGGAAAGGTGCTCGAGGCGGTCGCGGGCCCGCGCGGCGTGGTCCCCCCCGCCCCCCGCGGCGTGGTCCCCCCTGCCCCCCGCGGGGGCGGCGGCCCGCAGCGCGGCGGGGGCGGCCCGCAGCACTGTATGTAGCGACAGGTGAGTACCTCTAGGTAGTTGGAGAGGTGCTCGAGGCGGTCGCGGGCCCGCGCGGCGTGGTCCCCCCCGCCCCCCGCGGGGCCGGCGGCCCGCAGCGCGGCGGGGGCGGCCCGCAGCACTGTATGTAGCGACAGGTGAGTACCTCTAGGTAGTTGGAGAGGTGCTCGAGGCGGTCGCGGGCCCGCGCGGCGTGGTCCCCCCGCCCCCCGCGGGGCCGGCGGCCCGCAGCGCGGCGGGGGCGGCCCGCCGCACTGTATGTAGCGACAGGTGAGTACCTCTAGGTAGTTGGAGAGGTGCTCGAGGCGGTCGCGGGCCCGCGCGGCGTGGTCCCCCCCGCCCCCCGCGGGGCCGGCGGCCCGCAGCGCGGCGGGGGCGGCCCGCAGCAGGGCGGCGGCGCGGTCGGCGGCGTGGTGCGCGGCCGCCGTGTCGGCCGCCGCCAGGGCGCGCGTCATCCGCAGCGTCCACGCGTACAGCTCCCGGTATGGCACTTCCGAATTCACGAACGCTGCCCGGGGGAGTTCTGATTGTTACTGACCAGTTGTAAAACCGCAACTTGGACTACTCTTTTAAAATAAACATATCTTACTAGCTGACACGCACAACTTCTTCTGCATCACACTTGCTTTATCATTATATGTCGCCCAATTTACATATCTTTTTTTTATAGCCTATGTGTTATTCTGACGTATAATTATAGCTGTAAAGGTTCATCAAAATCCGTTCAGTAGGTTTTGCGTGAAAGAGTAACAAGATATTCACCCATGCAAATAACCATCTATACTCAAAAGCTTTCGCGTTTAATATATTAGTAAGATGTTATTCGTGAAGGCCAAAATTGTATACATTATATAACAATTTATTATTAAAACTTTAAACTCACCTATAATTCTAGAAGGAAAAGGACCCGATATACTAATTTTCTCCGGCGCACTGTACTTTTCTTTACACTTTTCTATTGCAGTACTAAAGGCCTCTATACACGTGTCGAGTTCCTCGTACTGCGGCCGCTTGTCCTTCGTCGGTCGACTGTCGGCCGACTCGATACACAACGCTATTGCCGACACTAACGCGTCTTTTAGTCGCAAATAGTCCATCTCTTGTTCGAATGTTCGAGACTTTAACTCTTCGTCCTGACATTGGGGTGGCTCCCAGCTAAGAATGACGTTTAAATCGCGGTTGTCACTGTAACAATTATATCAATCAATCTACATATCTTAAGTAATAAATTAAGAATAAGATTTTGAATTTGTTGGTGACAATAAACATATTGTTTCAGTCCGAATAAAATTAGTAGCATTCAATGTTGTACTGTAAAATTCAGAAATAATAACAGGGGGCATGCAAGAGCGCGGAGGGGCTGGCAGTACTCACGTGGGGCGGCAGGCAGACACGAGAGGGTGTGCAGGGGTGAGCAGGCGCGAGGGGGCGTGCAGGGGCGCTGGGGGCCGGTAGTACTCACGTGGGGGCAGCGGGCAGTCGCGAGGGGGCGTGCAGAGGCGCGGGGGGCCCGGCCAGCAGCGACAGCAGCGCCCTCTCCCGGGCCACGAACGCACACCACGCACAGCGTTCCAGCCGATCGCTCCATGCGCGCAACTCCACCAACTTCTCGAACGTACCATACTTGTACGCATACGTCAGGTGTTCCACGCTCTGTGGCGAAATATTACAATACAATCGGAACATACTTTATGAGTACAATATAAAATAACAGTGCGTACTATTTTATTACGGAGTCGTAGAGCAAAGCAAAAATAGAAGCTCCGTGAAAAATAGTCCAGGGCGGCGGGGCGCCGGCGCGGGTACTCACGTCCTTGGCGTGGTGCGCGTGGAAGGCGGCGGTGTCGGCGAGCAGCTGCAGCGCGCGCGCGGCGGCGGCGGCGGCGGGCAGGCGCGCGGCGTGCAGCCAGCCCAGCGACACCAGCTGCACGTGCTTCGCCTCCAGCCGCGCGTACACGCGGTCCGCGCACCACGCGTTTCCTGCGCACGCACACCCACACCCGCCGCACTCATATATGGAAAACATACGCGGTCACCGACCTCGCAACTTTCTCTATTTGTAAAAGATGCGCGGTCGCCGACCTTACAACGTTCTCTCTTCGTAAAACTTCTGCGGTCAATCGATCTTACGACATCTCCTCTTCGTAAAACACGTGCGGTCACCTTACAACATTCTCTACTTGTGAAAGATGCGTGGTTACATAAGGGACTGTCTATTGATCACGTCGTGTCTTTTTTTTTTAACCTTTTTTTTACCACCCCTTAGTGACACGAAGTGAAATTTAAGATTAATTCCTCCCCACTCAAAACTGAAGTGAGATTTAGAAGAAAATAGAATATTTTTTTACAGCACACAACGATACGACAATATCGACGATCACAGCGAACAAATAAAGAATTTACCAGTAAGTGTACAAACATAATGAACACGTTACAACATAAACTTTCAGACAGAAATAAATTTCTCGAATCAGGTATAATATTACTTATGACTTACCTAGAAAATGGTAAAGTTTGATCAGCAACAGCTTGGCATGAAAGTTGGCGGGTGAATTGTGAAGCACTAACTCTAGGAGGCATATTGCTTCCATCACTGGTGACGAACTCTGTTGCTGCATCGCTATGAAATATAACAAACAGATACAGTTTGGCTCACTGTCGCTGGAGTATACGTGTTCTAAAGTGGAGACCGCGAATTGGCAACTGTAGCTTAAGACGTCGACATCTTAATTCATAGGTCCAGGCGTTTCAGATATGAGCCAGAAGAAACTGACAGTGACAATATTTTTTTTATTAATTTTTTGATGTAAGTACCTTATATATTTTCAAATACGTATATGTCTGTAAGAAATAGCTTTAAGTAAATTAGACTGCTTTTTGTTTGGCACGCTTATGTAAAGCTTTTTTTTGCAAATATTACAGATACAATTTTATTCATTTGTACAGATAATGTTTAGATGTGTACGACAGGACGACCGAAAAAAAGATGGATGGATTGTATGAAAAATGATACGTATAAATAATAAAAGGAGAGTATACTAGATATGACAGTAGATTGGGATCAGTGGAAGAGGACGACATACTGGTACCCAAATATTAGGATAAAGGCAAAGCAATGATCATGATGAATGTTTGTTGTGTACATTTCTCGTTCTACGTTACCGGCATAGAAGTAGTGGTGCGCGGCGAGTATTCCATAGAGATCTGTGGCGCAGAGCTCCGTGGAGGTGGCCGTGAGCAGTCCCCGCTCTACGGAGCGGAGGTAGTGGCGGCGCAGTGTGTCCGCCAGCTGCACGCACTGCGACGCGTCCAGCCGCGCCGCCGACAGACGCCACGCGCCGATGCACGACACGTGCCGTTGGATATCTTCAGTCTGCCATTGCAATAATAAAAAAAATAATTGTTTAATTACTACCTTCGTTTACACGACATATTATTTTATATGCGATGAAGAACGCACACGATTTAGCGCGCCCAGTCAGCGAGCACGCGCAATCGTATGGGTTTTTTTAATTTTTAGTTCACATTCAATTGTTCATAGTCATTTAATATTTTTTTGTGTTCACAGTTTTGCGCATATCATATTAAAATATTTGAAGGTTGTTTTCTGTTGCACAGGTTTTATTTTCCAGAAAATAAAATGTATCTAATACCTATAACAAACCTATAATTATATTTTTGCTACAAAGTTAAATGGCCGCAATTTTGCGTTGATAACTAATTATTTAAAAAGCGCTAAAGCACGCACAATTGAGTACGTAGGAATGCGCTAGTTGGCGTCGCGTGCTGTCTATCTCGTTCTCATTTTATATATTTATTTCATTTATCAGTTCATTTAGAATTCACAAATAGTAAAAATTTTATTATAAACATTAAAGGAGTAAAAAATAACTCACCGTTGTTGGTTCACTATTTTCGTCAAATCCTAAACAAGTTAGGAAGTCTCTGCTGTGTTCCTCCCTCTCCTGCTGTGGTATCATCGCCAAATACGGTCTCAAATCTGGCACGGCACATGGTTTATTTGCAAACACCCTCAAATACTGTACACACAATGCCATTCCACTGCCAAGTAACGCTGTAGGGTCTCCATCAACTGACAACCGTTTCCATAGCTCTAATCTAGCAAGATAAGGGCCTCGTAATCTCCGTCCTGACGATATACTTTCCACCAGCTGGCATATGAACTCATGGCACTTCTCTGCTGTATCATCAGCTGTACTTTCAGTCTCCGAGACAGGCTCCTTCATCAGATGGAAAACCGAATCGAAGTATGGCAAGTAATAATCCCAACGATCTTGATTATCCCATAACAACTCCTTGCAGAGTAAATTAAGTTTCCGCCAGTGTCCTAACTTCGTTAAATATGGTATACAAGCTTGAGCCGTTGATCCTGGCACTAATTGTCCATACAATGGACTTTGGATAAATTTCAGGATGTCTTCCCATTTCTCTTGAAGCTCCAAAATCATGATATATAGTCGAGCTTCTTGTTCAGCCTCCATTTTTTTGTCAGTTATAAAATTGTCTACCATTCGTTGAGCCAGGGAGAGAAGTATGTTTCTCTTTGGGATATCATCACTTGTTTTAGCCTGTATGATATAAGAGCTAGAAGTTAATACATATACTAATATATACTTTGAAGTATCGCTAGCAGAATATGAGTGCAGCAATTTATGTGTAGCTTTATGCTGAATTGGTTGCTTATTCATCTGCACATACGGCACATAAAGCCACCTCCATCTCTTTGTATATGTAATTTTTTATACCTCATCTATGCTGTGTTTGTAATTGGTGTAATTTTAGAAGTAATTTATACAGTAACATCACCTTTACGGCAAATAAACCCTTTTCTTATATTTGTACACTATCTGTGCCCACAGTAACCCACATAAAATTTCAATATATAAAATTGATTAAAAAATATAGCCTATATGTTATTCTGATGCATAAGCTATATTACTGTAATCATCAAAATCAGTTCAATAGTTTTTGCATGAAGGAGTAACAAAAATTCATCCATAATCAGAAATTTAACATGTTGACAATATTACTAAGTCTTTTCTATACCTGTATGCTGATTATAATTGGCAAATTTTAAATATAGTAGTCCATCAATAGCAGCATATACAAACTTTAGTAACATACCTGCAGTATAATACTCATAACAGCCCAGAAGTAGTATGGATTCTTTGGTGCAAACTTGTACAGCACCATGGCCGCTCGCTGCTGTGAACGATGGTCACCGACGCGAACATACGACATGAACAGGTGAGAATGTAACTCCTCACTCGTTGGTTCCACTTTCACTGCTGCCTCATACAGCGCACACACTTTTTGCACTGTGGGAAATAAAAAATATAATTTTTAAATGCCAAGATGAGATATTTAATATGCCAAGAGTAGATTTATAAAATAAATTTAAAAATATGAGGATATCTAGGATAATGTGTCTTGTTTGTCTTTGTCTGAAAGATTTATTACAAATAAAAAACACACTTACTTGCATAAGCACACTTTAAAATCACTTGATGGGTTAATATAGTTTTTCATTTAAGCAAGTTTGTAATAATTCATCAATTATATTGGTAATAAACATAACTTAATCTATATCTAACTGAATAATGCATTATAATAATAAATAAATAAATAGTGTATAGTATCTAAAGAATATAAATAAACTAGCATTGTATTTCATCTTTACTCAGATCAACAATTATTTTTTTATATTCTATTGCACAGTTTGATCTATGATGTATTTTAAATTACAATTATTAACAATTTATTGTTAAACTTTATTGATTTTTTTTCGGTTGTATGCTTAAATATAAGGCATCCTTTTCTCCATTTGATGGGGTATAAATATTCTATATTTAAATTGCAATGTTGATTGATTAAATTACTAACATAATAAGTGTTATAATTTCTTAGATATATAGAAAATTACTACCAGTATTAATATTCAGAGGATCGACATGTTTAGTTGATTCTGTAGTCTTGCAACATACATTAATTTGAACAAATAAATAAATTCTTTAAAGAACAAATGACTATAGAACAGTCTATTCTAAATAGTAGTTTTAATATATATTCATTAGTGTATTAATGATATTGATGTCATGCACTGATTAGGAATTGTTTTAGCAGGATAAAATGTTCTATATTAACTTACATTGTTGGGACTCCCTATACGATATCGTCATCGCCTGTAGAGTTGTGTCATCGCTCGGTTTCTCTTCAGCCAGTGCATCTAACACGGCATGCGCCTCCGGCCCCTTACCTAACCTAAAAAGAGCTAGCGCTTTCAAAGCCCGAGCCGCCTGCAAGGATGGGCTCTTTTTGAGCACTTTCTCTGCTTCCTGAAGTGCTTTTTTATTGTTTCCATTGTCCAACCAGTCTGAAAAATGTATAAGTTGCCTTATTTTCAATGGGCATCGTACACCTCCGGGGAGGTTGTTTCGAAAAATAGAAAAGTCGAACTAGAAGTTTTTACCGTAAATGGGACGTAGCCGACGCTCCACAATACCTCCGTCATGCATGTGCTGTGGCCGCACCGGCATTTTTCATTTATAAAATGATATTTTCCTTTAAATAATACGCGTTTTTAGTTCTTTTTACGCTTTTTCACAGCACGTTTGTTTGCGATTTTTGTCTTTGGCTGTAGCAATTATTTGACATTGACAGTTTGACAGTCGATTTCTAAGAACGAGACCTAGATTAATGAAAGGCACACAAATGTGAATCGTAAAATGAATTTGAGCTCTACTGCACTTAAATAACGTTTATTGTTTAATTAATTTAGACAATTAGAAAACAACATCTAGAAAGAGACATACCGTTCAATTTCGCTGTCCATTCATACTCTCGTGCGTAAATACGGGGTTACTCTGGATTACAAGTCACAAGATTATGACATGGTAAATTTTAAATTTAATTTTCTGATTTATTTCTTGAAAGTGGTTTATAAGTAATCTACTTACCAGACTGTCAACTATAGGGTTTGGTATATCTTCTTGATATTTGAAAAAAAGATTTTATAATTTTTTTTTTTTTATACTACTATGCTGGCAAACAAGCATACGGCCCATCTGATGGTAAATGGTTACCGTAGCCTATGGACGCCTGAAGCACCACTAATAGTACAGATAATAACAACCCAAGACAATTTACACAATGCCATTTAGCCTCTAGCTAATCAGAGCACGTGTTATGGTTTTTCGACAATGAATATAAATACTTATAATTTTTTTATAAATACATACATAATATAAATAGAAAATACCCAGATCAATACAAACATAAATAAAAATGTTTGCATCGTGAAAAGAGTCTACATGTTTATATGTACCTACAAAATTTTCTTGATCTTTATTTTTATCTGACTGAAGTTATTAAAATAATATGCGTCAATATTCAATGTTAACAACAGGAAAATATTAGTGACTTTCTTTGTATTCCTTCCGGGTCACTTGGTGTAAGTAGGTAGTAAACTACAAAAATATCGTCTGGTATACCTACCAATTGTATTAATATTACTAGTTTTATCAGTCAAATAATATTTATTCGTCGTTTTGTGTGCCATAAAATCAAGGCTTTGTGGTTCACTACTTAGATTTGTACCACAAAGGTCGTGAGTTTGAAATCGAGACTCAGCTTTCAGCTGTTAGCTGTCAAAATAACCAGTAAATGTGAGACCAATTACAGGACTACTCACAAATACTGGCTATAGTGTCCGAGTCAAAGAGTAAAGTAAATATACCAATGGTCCGAGTACAATAATTGTCTCCTGCGCATATGCGATTCTAAATACTTTTCTTTAGTAAATAATAATATCATTAGACAATTCACACAGTGACATGTAGTCACAGGCTAACCAGAGCTTGTGTTGTGGGCACTAGACTAGAAGTATAATTAGATAACATTTTTTTGTGTATTTACAAAAATACATAATTTATCACCCATAACTATACACAACCATACTCATGATTGCAAATGTTTGTACCGTGCGAGGAATCGAACCCGCTGCAGTTGAGGGCCCTGCATGTGTGTACATAAAAAGCAAATAATTAATTTTGATATATGTTCAATTATTTGTATATAGATATTTTTTAATAGCCAATATTAACGCTAACGTTATGTTAGCTTGCTTGCTACGCATACATAATTCTGTCTGTAAACATTTAGGGCACCGTACTGATTGGGAAATAATAAATAACATTAAGTACAATTTATTAACATAATAAAATTTAAATAATTATAATTTACAAATCTTCATATTATAATTAAATAAAATACAGGCAAACATCAATGTAATAACGTTGATTTCTCTTAACACACGGCTCAATCACATCGTCTACGTTCAAACACAATTTAACCTACTTGTAAAAATATCACTAAAGGCAGTGGTAGGTCGTTACAGTCAACTTAACCTAAGCCTCATTTAGCCATTCTGTAATGTTTCTCATTTAGATCTAAGGTCTACAGTTTCGAATCCTGAATCAGTAATAGATGTTACTTTCGAAGGTATCAATTCTGGCGGATAAGATCTTGATAGCGAAGATCTTTTGTGTCTTGGTGGTGGAACTGGTGCCGGCGGAGGGACCTTTGACTTCAGAAGATTCTTTATCCTCATCCCACCTCGGTAGTAGTACAAGTAGATGCCAGCGAGCACTGCCACTGCAACGAACAGCGCTGCAATGGCAACCATGATGCCGTACCATGCGCTTCCAGAGGTGTGCTCTGGTGTAGGAACTGTTGGTGGTTTCCTACTCGGAGGTACGTACGAAGGTCTAGGTCTCCTTGTAGTGGTAGCGAACTTCTCGCCTATAGCAATATCTGCGCACGCTCTAAACTCCTCTTGGGGACCGCATCCTACAGCTTCCGTTCCATTATCACAGCTACCCCAGTTATTACCAGCGATGTAACGCCATTGCATAACGCAATGCGAACATTCCATGTCTTCAGGTAATTTGTATTTCATTTCATACACCTTATTGCCATCCTTAGGATAAAATTTGGTGCCATCTTTGCCGTCTATTTTTAATACGTTCTTATCTAAACATTCCTGGGTCGTTCCTTTGTATTCATCGCACACTCTGAACTCGAAATAGCCGTTGTGATTCGCCGTCAGTTCGATTTTAATGGTGACAGTGTCCTTTGGAGCGTATTTGCGAACGATGACGCCTTTGTAAAACCTTCCTCCGAATTCGTGGGGGCGTGGATTAGGTGCGTCCCAAGCGTCGCCACAAATTCCACATTTTCCTTCATTTTTGTTCCACTGTCTGGAGAACCCACCGCAGTACAGTTCGTGGTCGTTGTAGTTGTGTGGTGTGTCGAAGCCGTAACGCCACGCTGATGCCCTCGAAGGCGGCTCAATCAGTCGCCCATGTCCGCTCACGCAGGTCAATAAAACGGCCAGTACGGTCAGGCAGCATATTATCTGGAAAGATAGAAATTTTTAATATTAATATTTATTACTTTAGACTTAAGGTACTTTTAAATTGAGGCAATAGGAAATGCATAGATGATAAAATTAATTCTTAATTCTTCTGACGGCATTCATATGTAAATTTAATCAAATTTATGGTTATTAACAATGGATAAATTTATACTTGGTTTCTAATTTTTTTTGTAATCAAAATTTGTTTTGTTACTAAATGTAATCTACCAGATGAGTGCATATGACATCTAAATCTATACATATAACTCAAAGGTGACTGACTGACATAGTGATCTATCGACGCATAGCCCAAACCACTGGACAGATCAGGCTGAAATTTGGCATGCAAGTAGATGTTCTGACGTAGGCATCCGCTAAGAAAGGATTTTGATCAATTCTACCCCCAAGGGGATAAAATAGGGGATGAAAGTTTGTATGAAACTTTGTCAATTTTAAACCGATCGGGCTGATACTTTGCATGCATAAAACTACAATGACGTAGGCATCCTCTAAGAAAGGATTTTTATAAATTCCACCTTTTCACATTCCACAATTTTGTATAAATCTTCTTAGATTTTCGAATGATTGAACTGAAATTAAAGATTGGAGCTACTATGATGAAGACTTTCGCTTAAATAGGATTTTGATAAATTCAACCCCTATGGGGTTGAAATAAGGGATGATGCAGGATATAAATGTATTAGTTTGAACCTACCAGTACTAATGGAACGAATAAATTAAGACGAACCAAATAATATTCAGTTCTTTAGGCTAACTTTTATTTTAGAAAAGTTAAGTTAAATTCCACACGGACGAAGTAGCGGGAACAGCTAATCTAAGATATAATCTGATTACTAATTGATCTGAATACTAATTCAGGTGCCACAAATGGCATTTAATGTATTTGCACAATTAAGTACGAACATTGTAAAACAATTTAACTTAATTATTATATTGTAAATTTAAATTGGAGGAGATATTATAGTGTAAACTTAAATAATTTAAGTATACAATATAATATCTCCTTGTGAATTTGTCATAGTGATCTACTGCCGGACTCCTACCGGCTAAAACCCCAAACTCTACCGGGCCTCCGGATGTGCACGAGTACTCTTCCGTAGCTCCGACGACGGGCTAACAAATCTAATCTAACTTCATCCTTATTCCATTATCTTCCACTTGTATCCCGTTGATACCACTCCATAAGCCATTAAAACCCCAAATTACATTATCTGTGGCATTACTCATAGAAAGTTGCAAAAAAATTCTGTTGGCTAACTTTTTTTGTACACAAATATTAAAAGACTAATTCGTTACGATAGACGTTATATGTTGCAATTTAGGTCATAATAGAATTGCAGCTCAATGGAGTTAACCGATGACATGGTATTATTCTATGGGACTTACGTAATGTTACATCACTGCACCGAATCAGTTGACAGCAATTTTATAATACCTATTACAATCATAAATTTATTTCATTCCTATTTTCATGGTAAGGCATTAAATAAAATTTTATTTTATGACATAAGCTATGTATTGTATTTGATAAATTCTCCGTACGCGGTAATTACTTTTTGTAGCTTGCAATTGAAATTGTCTATGGTTCACAACCGAGGGCCGAAGGTACCAATAGTCTACAAAAATATACTGTGTCATTAAGAATGAAATTAAGAAATATAAATTCGTTGAAATTTCGATCATCGCATCAATTAGCATCAAACGTTGTAGTCGAAGTGATGAGTCACAATGACATCGACGGATCAGTTAAACTTACAATTATATTTTTAAATATTTTAATTTGTTTTGAGTTTATTTTTGAATGAGTAAATTAGAAATTCTAATTCGAACACTCTATTTTTAAAATATGTGGATAAATATGGAATGATGCAATGGAATAGTATATCTGAACCGATATGATTTTGAAATCTTCAAGAAAAGAACTTATTCCTTTTTAAAAGGCCGACAACGTACTTGCAATTCCCCTGGTGTTGCGGATGCTCATGGGCTGCGGTAATCACTTACCATCAGGTGAGCCGCGTGCTCGTTTGTCCCCTGTGTTATAAAAAAAATCTCTTGCGTTTGTGGTATACACTGGTGCGCCAGTGGAGGATTATACTCTGAGCCTCAAGTCAGGTCGAAGATTTTACTACGATGGTTCTCAAATGGGACCGCATGGAGACAGATCTGACATGGTACATTGTTAACAATAGGGCCTAGTCCTAATAATCCCCTTCCCTCATGACAAAGATGGTCCCCGGTCAAAACAGGAGTTACTCGTCTACGGCGAGGTTATTTGATCTTACTACTCGAACCTAATAAAACAATATAATCTGCATGAAATTTTATCTAACGTTTACGAAAGAATTTAAAAATCATCTTTATATTATTGATTGTCATAATTCACGCTCTTTATTACATTAATCTCTATATTAATAGGTTGTTGCACTAAAGACTAGACGTTAATTACCAAATGGGTTAGGACGACTTCCCCAGAACAATACAAATAATCCCAAATGCGAGGAATTGAACCCGCACCATCGGATGTAAAACGGTGTGCCGCCAGGAACTGACCACGATGGTTTCCAAAGGGGGATTGCGTTGAGATCAATCTTAAATGGTACATTATTAGCGACGGAGCATGTAGTCACCATTACTAAAAACATCTCCCTAGATGCTTATATTATCTATAGGCTACCTTGCAGTCCGTTTTACAACTTTCAATAAATTAATAAATAATTGATGTAAGTACAGGGTTACCAAATTGCTTGGAACATGCAATGATTCGTTTAATATAATTAGATGCCTCTTAAGTAGTTAAGTACTATTGTATTGGCATTTATATGTATTGTATGGTTATATTCTGCTATCGTGGGAATTTCAGAAATATTCAAAATATCAAATTGTGTTCCGCAGTTATTTTTTTTATGATTGATGATGGAACGGTGCATACACCTGGGCTAATGGTATACGCTGCCAGGGCACCAGTGAAGGAATTTGTGCCCATTGCAGCAAATTCATTGGGAATTACGATGGCTTTCGCATAGTAGTAGATCTACCATGATACATTGCTAGCAATGGAGCTGCTAATTCCCTTAACTAACAATCCCTTCCGTATTCCATAGTGGCATAGGCTATCATTATGTTAATATATATAACATTCCCCAAGTTACACACTCGTATTGAGGCATGTCAGTAGTAGGGGATAAAGAATTTAAGTACATATGTATATTCATAATAGCATACGCGACTCCCACAATAGCTTCATTATAAATCAAAGGATATAGGGATATTAACCTCAGTGCCTCTAGCAAATTTTATGAAGAGTCATAGCTTATTGTTATTAAAAAAAAATACTAATGACAAATATTTTACTCGGATTATATACATATAATGTGGATTGATGACTTCATTACTAGCAATGTACCATGTCAGGTTGACCTCCACGCGGCTTCTTCCGGAAACCATCGTGATGGTTGTATTTGTCACGATGGGCTAACTTCATGCTAATCTTATCATCCTCCACTGGTGCCCCGCCAGCGTAAACCGTTAGCGCAGCAGTTGCACCATCCCATTATCATCCATTAAAAAAAACTCGGATTATACTACATACAAATTAAAGAACATTATATTAGTAGAATTAATTAATTAATGTAATAAAAAAATCTTGTATTGTGTTTCAAACAGTTGTGGGGTCTTATTACGAAACATTTTCTATTCTAAGCTAATCCGATACTGATTTACTTCCATTTCTATTCTGACTTCTTACATTTCGTATGCCACGAAATCGTGGTATTGCCTGTATGATTATCATAATGATTTGCGAATTGGCTTGTAACAGATTATACAAACATCACCTAACACCAATGTCATGACCAATAGCCGTGTCATGAGGCAGCGAAACTCATACTTTCAGACTAATTGCAATGTACGGAATGACGTAACTCAACCATCTTTCTGTAGGTGTCATTCACCCGCGATGACTATGTAACTTTATATTTATTTATTTCGGATATCCATCCGAATATATTATGTTAGTAAACAATTTATATATAACAACCGTGCAGGCAAATACGGGGGTCTAGGCTTCGAATATGATTTTGTCCCATTCAGTGTAGAGACCCATGGTCGGTAAGGTCCTAGCGCTATAAGGCTTTTTAAGGAAATAGCGAAAAGGTTAGTCGACATCACAGGAGACCGAAGAGTTGGGACAAAGAATTAGTATAGCTATTCAAATATCTTCAGAATCTAGCTTTAAAAGGCCCCTTTTAATAATATATTTTAGTCAATGTATTATATTTTTTAAGGTTTCTAGTTTTAGGTTCATTATTCTTCTATATATACACTAGGACAATAAACAGACAGGCAATGAATAGACTTAAACAACTAAATTAGAAATATATATTTATTTCTGTATAGATAAAATTATAATTTAAGTAGGCACTTATATTGTTGGTGGACTGTTTCGCTTGACATTTTTCTGTTCTTACGAACTTATCTAAAAAACTTAAAGACAACACTAACTTATAAACTATGTTAGTCAATTTAGTATCTCAGTTCATATATCTACTTGAATGGCGAGCGTGCATGGCAATAGTTGTTTTGTTATGATAATGCCGAAATATCATCAGGAACTCAATAACTGTCCACTACCCTGAGCTCATGTTCATCTTGTCTTCCTTTTCTGATACCCTGCCAGCGTAAATCGTTAACGCAGGTGGGAGCACTATTGCATTATCATTCGTTTAAAAAAATCTTCTGTAGATAAATTAGGCAAGGTACGGAAACCTGACGATGTAGGGAAAAGTTGCTATTTAGGTCATTGCTACCATCAGGTGGACTATAAACTAATATTAGAACCTAAAAGCCTAAACCCATACGTGATTTAATCGACTTAAATATTGTTCAAAACGACCCTTAACAGCATGTCAGTTAACAAATGCTATTATAGTATTAATGACTGTTTTAATGACAAATATAATCGTGACTCATATTTTATA